AGGCAAACATCTCCGGAATATAAGCATGAGCAACTTCTTCCTGAACCCATATCCTCGAGAAAGGGAAACAAAAGCAAAAATGAACTCATGGGACTATATCAAACTGGAAAGGTTTTGTACAGCATAGGACATCATCAACAAAACAAAAAGGCATCCTACAGTATGGGAGATATCATTGTAAATGACATCCAACAAAGGGTTAACATCCAAAATATATAAAGAATTCACACATCACAGCACCCAAAAAGCAAATAACCCAATCAACAAATGGGAAGAGGGTATGAAGAGACAGTTCTCCAAAGAAGAAATTCAGATGGCCAACAGACACATGAGAAGATGCTCCACATCACTAATCATCAGGGAAATGCAAATTAAAACTACAATGAGATATCACCTCACACCAGTATGGATGGCCTACATAGAAAACACTAAGAACAAAAAATGCTGGCAAGGATGCAGAGAAAGGGTAGCCCTCCTACACTGCTGGTGGGAATGTAAGCTAGTTCAACCATTGTGGAAAGCAATATGGAGATTCCTCAAAAAACTAAGATATCACCTCACACCAGCATGGATGGCCTACATAGAAAACACTAAGAACAAAAAATGCTGGCAAGGATGCAGAGAAAGGGTAGCCCTCCTACACTGCTGGTGGGAATGTAAGCTAGTTCAACCATTGTGGAAAGCAATATGGAGATTCCTCAAAAAACTAAATATAGAAATACCATTTGACCCCAGAATCCCACTCCTTGGAATATACGCAAAGAATACAACTTCTCAGATTCAAAAAGACATATGCACCCCTATGCTTATCACAGCACTTTTACAGTAGCCAAGATATGGAAGCAGCCTAAGTGTCCATCCGTAGATGAATGGATAAAAAAGGTGTGGTACATATATACAATGGAATACTATTCAGCCATAAGAAACAAACAAATCCTACCATTTGCAACAACATGGATGGAACCGAAGGACATTATGCTCAGTGAAATAAGCCAGGTGGAGAAAGACAAATGACAAATGATTTCCCTCATTTGTGGAGTATAACAATGAAGCAAAACTGAAGGATCAAAATGGCAGCAGATTCACAGACTCCAAGAATAAACTAGTGGTTACCAAAGGGGAGGGGTGTGGGAAGGCAGTTGGGGAGGGAGGGAAAAGGGAATTGAGGGGTATTATGCTTAGTACATATGGTGTGGGGGATCACGGGGAGAACAGTGTAGCACAGAGAAGGGACATAGTGGTTCTCTGGCACTTGCTGCACTGATGGACAGTGACTGCTTTGGTGTATGGGTGGGGACTTTCTGATATGGGTGAATGTAGTGACCACATTGTTTTTTCATGTGAAACCTTCATAAGAGTGTATATCAATCATACCTTAATAAAAAATTAAGAAAAAAAAAGAAATACCATTTGACCCAGGAATTCCACTCCAGGAATTTACCCTAAGAATACAGCAGCCCAGTTTGAAAAAGACATATGCACCCCTATGTTTATTGCAGCACTATTTACAATAGCCAAGAAATGGAAGCAACCTAAGTTTCCATCAGTAGATGAATGGATAAAGAAGATGTGGCACATATACACAATAGAATATTATTCAGCCATAAGAGGAAAACAAATCCTACCATTTCCAACAACATGAATGGAGCCAGAATTTAAACATGACTCGATTTATTATCTTATTTCTGTACAACCTCTCTAACAGGTACGCCCTGATGCTTTGGTTCTTGTCATATTGATGCCAACTCAGACCATGTGTCTTTAAAATATCTTGGTATTTCTGTCTTTCTGAGTAGTCTCCCTTTCTATGTAGTCATCTGCATAAAAGGAGAGAGTTTCCTTTAGGAAAGTACTGGGCATACCTTTTCAGTATATGCTTGCCATTGTGTTGTATGTCAATTCTTCCTGGGGAACATGACTACATTTTCAGGCAATACATTCTGCATCTAAAAATTGGCATAGGTCAATGAACTAATCATGGAATTGTGACATTTTATTGGGGGAGACCAATCTCAGTCCCCTGTTCCTCTTCTGATTGTAGATGTCAAGCAACACCCTTATCAAGGGCTCCCTGATTTTACCCCTAGGGACACCATTTGTATTAACCATTTCCTCAATTCCCTGTGGACCAAAACTTCTTTGGCTTCCCCTCTGACCTCATTAGCTGGTTATGGAAATTGTAAACAGCTGGATTCTGATGGTTCATTTGCACTGTCTGTCCTCTATTGAGTTATAGCTCCTTCTTCTACATCACTATTAGCAATCTAGCTCTGTGATTACTTGGTATAAAGAGGAGAGTCACAACTGGTACTCCTCCAGCAGAGCATTCCTGGTGGCTTTGGTGGATGGTGTATCTCCTCTGGACTCTCTCATGCACCATATTCTGGTGTATTTTCTCCTCTCACATAATATGTCCACTTCAATTTCCCCACTTTAGTGAGTTTCTTTGATCTTTTCCTTACCATCTATCAGGGTAGTGCAGGCATTTCATCATTAACTGGAAAGGGCTACTGCCTTCTCTAGGCTAGTAAGAGTCACACTGACAGGAAGTGTGACCTGTCCCTTGGGGTCCATGCCTAAGAATTAAATGTCCCCAAGTCAAGGAATTTTTAACATAAAATCCAGTTTTATGTTCCAGTCTTTTGATCAAGCACCTTCAAACTCCAATCCCATGGTTATTCCTGCAGGTATATTCTTGCTAAATATGTGTAACTCCTTTGAGTTTCAGTTCTTTCTTCACTTAACATCTCAGTGTATCTCCAGTTAGTTTATGCAGGGAGTTAACTCTATTGGCCTGGCAGCTAGGAATGGCACACACTATTGTCATCATAATATGGATGATAGAAAGGGTATCAGTTGAACCTACATATCTTGCTGAAGAGATTAGCAGGAAAAGTTGTGAAAGTTCCAATTGCTTTCTTTTAGTTGACTATTATAAAATAGAAGAATGAGATAAACTAAAAACAAACCATTTAATCTTAAAGCAGAATTTAGAAGAAATTAAAGAAGCAAGAAAGCCTAGACCAAAAAAGTAAACTATACAAATTCTTAGCTACTCTACATGCAGAAAATTGTCAGTGAGAAATTGCCTCAGGGCAAAGATCAAAACCCAGATTGTGTTGTCAGTGAAATGTCATTTAGGTAAAGATCTAAAGGATGTGGCCATAAAATCTCACAAAAATATAAAGGAAACCTAGATTAGATTCCAACAATTTTAAGGGCCTGTCTCCTAGGCTCTCTAAGCTAGATAGCTCCCAGATATCCTAATCACATGCCTGTAGAGTCTCTCAACCAGACAAAAATCTTTCTAACCAATTTTAATGACATTGTCCCCAAATACCCTAACTCTCAGTTCAAGCTATAGAAAGCCTTCCTCACAGAGATTTATAGGTATATCATTTGCCCAAGTAAATCCCAAGAGGAATCAGGAAAACCTAAAATATTTTTTAATGTTATTTGTATCATCAAATTTAATTGTCATCTTGGACTGTAGAGGACAGAGTTAGGAAAATATTCTCAACTAGATTTCAAAACAGCTATATTACTATTACATGCTCCCATTTTTCCCTTTTGGAATAAAATTTTCTGTTTTTGACATCCCTGTATATACCATAACACTATGTGTTGAGTGTTTGATAGGCAGGTAAATTGACTCTTCAGTTCAAAATTGTTCAGATTAAATGAATCATACTTGAAGAAGCATACCCAAGAAACTCCATTTGCACCTTCTGATTTAGATGAAAATAGCTGGACTTTGAGCTAATGCCATAATGAGATGAGATTTAAGATTATTGAAAGTAATCATAAGTGCAACTCAGGCATTATATTTTCTTAGATTATTTATTCCTATGCATTTACATATCATACTTTCCTTTAAACTATCTTTATCCCATTTCATAAAAATTGCTTCATAACCATGTTTCAAAGCCATCTACAATACTAATAGGTAAATAATTAATTCAATACTCAGTTTGAGCATAATATTTGCCAATGTTTTTACTACTGTAATAATTCTACATGAATGTAATATTTCTTCAATATCCATTATTCAGATAATTTAATTAAAATATTTAACAGAAAATTGGTGACTTAAAGACTGTTTCTTAATTTTCTTGTTGAATAAGTTGTTTATTTAAGGTAGCAGGCATAAATTTGACCATCCTAATTGCATGTTTATAATTTTGTCTTATTTCATATGCAATAGCTCTGCATATTTTAGTTTTCAATCACTGCCAATTTGGCTGGTACAAAATTATATTTCCTGATGCCTTAACTTTTATTTAATTAAGGATAAGGGTAAATAAATGTTTCAGGTGCTTTTAGCTATTTTACTTCCTTTTTAAAAAAAACACTAGTAAATTTCTGGCTTTCTGCCATTTCCTAGTAAGAACTTATTATTTTTCAGATCAGTTTACATGGTATTTTATTTGTTAAGGGTAATGATTGCATATCATAATACAAACAAGATGTTATCAATAAAAAATTTGCCTTTAGTATTATTTATTTTTCCAAGGAATTACTAGAGAAAGAAACTGGGAATTTATTCTCTAGTTGAAACAAAACTATAAAATTGCAATAAAACAATTAGTGTGGTGGTGGTACAAACAGATATAACTAATGGGAAAGAATAGGTACCTCAAAAACTTCTTTATAAATCTGCCTGTGTGGGTGTGTGAAATGAGTGAAAGTTTAATGTACATAAAATTTTGATGCACTACAATACCCATTGAAAAATACTTTCTTTTCCTATGATTGAAGTGGATGACATTAAAATTTATAATCTACTTTACCCAATCCCTATGAAACGCCCTATGAGTTGAATTGTTTAAAATTGCTCAACATAATTATTAGAATATAAAGCTATGTCACATTTACAGTGATGAACTAGTGATGCCTTAACTTCACTGATTAAGTGGATCAGATTGTCAAATAAAAGTTTTATTTCTATGGGTTTCCATCTTGACTTAAACCAGCATACCTCTTGGAAAATGAGAAGGATTATGGCTAATTTCACAACAATGAATGGGTTTCTTCTCATGGGATTTTCTGCCAAGCCTGAGCTAGAAATTTTATGTGCTTCTCTGTTCTTAGTCTTATACTTAGTGGCTTTAATTGGCAATATTCTCATTATCACTGCAACTTCCATGGATAATAGACTCCATTCACCTAGGTATTTTTTCCTGAAACATCTCTCCTTCTTGGATCTTTGCTATATTTCTGTGACTGTACCAAGATTCATTTGCAAATCTTCCATGCATAGTGGCAATATTTCCCTCTGGGAATGTGTGTTACAGTGTTTTGCTTTCACTCTCTGTGGTTCTGCTGAGATGGCCATTCTCACACTGATGCCCTATGACCACTATGTGGCCATCTGCTTCCCTCTGCACTATGAAATCATCATGGATGTCAGCACCTGAATCCATGGAATCTTGGCTGTCTGGCTCAGTGGGATCATCTCAGGAGTCATGCATTCAGCTGCAACTTTCTCCATCCACTTCTGCAGTACCAATATCATTCACCAGTTCTTCTGTGATGTCCCTCAGTTTCTGAAATTGTCTTGTTCCAATGAGTACGCCAGTGAGCTTGGAGTCACTGGTTTCCTGTCCTTGGTGGCATTTCTTTGCTTTATCTCCATTGGACTCTCCTACACATGCATACCCTCTACTGTGCTGAGGATCCCATCTGCTGAGGGCAGAGCCAAGGCCTCTTCCACTTGCCTGTCCCACCTTTCTGTTGTCATATTATTTATCTCTACAGGTGTCTTTGAGTTTTTAAATCCACATTCTGACTCTACAACTGAATTCGACTTTTTGCTCACTGTTTTTTATAATGTTCTCCCTTCAACACTCAATCCTGTGACATATACCCTAAGAAACAAAGCCATGAAGCCAGCTTTAAGAAAGGTTTTTAAAAGAAAAGCCCTCCTTTCTTGCTGAATCCCATCTATTCACTCCTGTTTGGGGTAAAATCAAAATATATTGGAAAAACATAACAAAACCAATCAAGAAATTAAAGCTCAAATAGATCTCATTAGACAGAAAGTCATATGAATAGATGATCTTAGTGCAATAAAAGCATTGACATACTGTTATATAAAAATTACTCTTGTAAAATCTCCTGAACATAAACATGAGCAACTTTTTCCTGAACATTAAAACATCTCCTCAGGCAAGGGAAACAAAAGCAAAAGTGAGCAAATGGGACTACATTACACTAAAAAGCTTCTGTACAGCAAAGTACACTATCAGCAGAAAAAGGTATCCTACAGTATGGGAGAATATATTCATAAATGACATAACCAATAAGGGCTTGACATTCAAAATACATAAATATCTTACATGCCTCAACACCCAAAAAGCAAATAACCTGATTAAAAAATGGGCAGAGGATCTGAACAGATACTTCTCCAAAGAAGAAATTCATATGGCAAACAGGCACATGAAAAGATGCTCCACATCGCTAATCATCAAGGAAATGCAAATTAAAACCACAGTGAGATATCACCTCACACCAGTTAGGATGGACAACATCGAAAAGACAAGGAATAACAAATGCTCATGAGGATGTGGAGAAAGGGGAACCCTCGTACACTGCTGGTAGGAATGTAAATTAGTTCAACCATAGTGGAAAGCAATATGGAGGTTCCTCAAAAAACTAAATATAGAAATACCATTTGGCCCAGCCAGTTTTTCCACTTCTAGGAATTCACCCAAAGAAAATAAGATCCCTGAATCAAAGACATATGCCCCCCTATGTTTATTGCAGCATTATTTGCAATAGCCAAGATATGGAATCAACCTAAGTGTCCATCAGTAAATGAATGAAGATGATATGGTACATATACACAATGGAATATTATTCAGCCGTAAGGAGAAAATAAATCCTACCATTTGCAACAACAGGGATGGAGCCGGAGGGTATTATGCTCAGTGAAATAAGGCAGGTGGAGAAAGACAAGTACCAAATGACTTTATTCATCTGTGGAGTATAACAACAAAGCAAAACTGAAGGAACAAAACAGCAGCAGAATCACAGACTCCAAGAGGCTATTGGTTACCAAAGGGAAGGTGTTGGGGAGGGTGGATGAGGAGGGAGGGAGGAGGGGATTAAGGGGTATTATAATTCACACAAATAATATGGGTGGGTCACAGGGAAAGCAGTATAGCATGGAGAAGACAAATAATGACTCTTGCATTTTACTACACTGAGGGACAGTGATTGTAATGGGGTGTAGAGGGAACTTAATAATATGGGTGAATGTTGAAATGACAATGTTGCTCATGCGAAACCTTCATAAGATGTATATCAATGATATCTTAATAAAAAATGTTAACAAAAAAAATACTCTTGCAAATATGGTAGCCCCAAATCTCACTGCACAATGTTAAGTAAGCAGAAATGCCAATTTCTTTTATTCTAAAGACTCCAACTTCATTTTCCTTCCTGGGTCATTTCTATCAAGGTGAAAGAAAACTTTGCATTTTTTCATGAGTTACCATCAAGTTTGAGATATTATATGGTATCCAAGCGTTTAGGAGAACCACATGGTTCTCAATGTTCTCTGGCTATTTTGGGGTCCACTAATATTTCAATCTCTCAAGACTTCAGTCAGTAGTATGCAAGGGTCACAATGGGAAAACCTTATTGTATCATTTCTGTTGAATCTTTGCCTCTCATGTGAGTAGGATGTTTAAAAAATACTATAATCAGATAGTGACTCAAAATGAATAAAAGAAGAAATACAAACACAATTATAATAATTAGTTTTTAAAAGGCACATTTTAAAAATAAGCAAAAAAGTCTTATGTATATATACAGTAAATATAATAAAACAATGCATGGTATAAGCAACAGATAAAATACAAGAAATAATGAACTGGCATATACGTACGGCCAAGAATTTCCCACAGAATGGGAGAAAATAAATCATTTTTAAAAAACATGAAAAAGAAAAATCCTAATTTTGTGAATTAGGATTCACAAAAGATATAAAAGAAGGACTCAATATGTGTCTAACAATAGTTCAGGAATGATCTATTATTCATGCATTGAGGGAATATGTTACAGGCAATGTTCAGAGAAATAATTTTTAAGGGTTTTCTTTGTAGAATTAATGAAGATGTAAATATTCAGGTTTGAGAAACACAGCCAAATAGTGGTCAGCATAAATTAAATGAATATACATGTAGTTATATCATCCTGAAACTATAAAGAAATTCTAAAATCTTAAAACATAATTGATTTAAAAATAATGCCAATGTTATATCCTAGATGATTTATTGTTTTCCCTGTTATATTTAATTATATAATCAATTGAAAAATAATTTTGGTGATTGTATAAACGTAATTGTTCATTTTACTCATCAATAGCAAATCAACTGGCATCATTAACTGTGAACTAACTTTGGCCCCAAAGAATTCCAGTTGGTATCTTTGTAATAAATCTGACAGCTAGTATATATATGGGAGTCTCTCATCTGCTTAACTGCTCTATGTGTTCATGCTTATTCTATAAAGCTCTATTAATAACTGTAGTTATATGGTAGTTTTTTTATTGAGTAGTGCAAGTTTTCTAACTCTGTTCCTCAGATTTCCTGGTTTTAGAATCAGGTTTTTAATTTTTTCAATATACCCAATAAGATGTTGACTGAGGTACACTAAATCCATAGGTCAAATATTAGAGAATTGTCTTATTTAAAAGACTGCATCTTCTCAGGAACAAGATGAGGATAGCCACTGTCACCATTTGTATTCAACATAGTACTGGAAGTCCTAGCCATGAGAATCAGACAAGAAAAAGAGATAAAAAAGTCTTATGTATATATACAGTAAATATAATAAAACTTAATGCATGGTATAAGCAACAGATAAAATACAAGAAATAATGAACTGGCATATACGTACGGCCAAGAATTTCCCACAGAATGGGAGAAAATCCAAACTGGTAAGGAAGAAGTAAAATTGTATCTGTTTGCAGATGACATATTTTACATAGAAAACCTTAAAGACTCTACCCAAAAACTATTAGAACTAGTAACTGGATTCCTCAAAGTTGCAACATGCAAAAATAATGCACAGAAGTCTCTTGCATTCCTATACACTAACAAGGAACTAGCAAAAAAAGAAATCAAGAAAATAATTCCATTTAAAGTTGTATCAAAAAGAATAAAACACCTAGGAATAAACCTAACAAAGGAGGTGAAAGACCAGTACTCTAAAAACTATAAGACAGATGAAAGAAACTGAAGAAGACATAACTCAATGGAAATCTAACCTATGCTCATGGATAAGATCCTAGAATTAATATTATCAAAAGGGCCATCGTACCCAAAGCAATTTACAGATTCAGTGCAATCCCTATCAAAATACCAATGGCATTTTTCAATGAACTGGAGCAAATAATCCAAAATTTATATGGAAAAAGACCCAAAATAGCCAAAGCATTATTGAGAAAAAAGAACACACTGGAAGTATCACATTCCCTGATTTCACACTGTACAATAAAGCTACAGTAACCAAAACAGTATGGCACTGGCACAAGAACAGATCCATAGATCAATGGAACAGAACAGAAAGCCCAGGAATAAACCCACACATATGTGGTTAGTAAATATATGACAAAGGAGCCATGAGTGTACAGTGGGGGAAAAGCCTCTTCAATAAATGGTGTTGGGAAACCTGCACAACTACATGCAAGAGAATGAAACTGGATTACTCCCTAACACCATTCATAGAAGTAAACTTGAAATGGATTAAAGACCTAAATATAAGACCTGAAACCCAAAACTACTAGAAGAAAACAGGCAAAAGTCTCATGAACATAAGCATGAGTAATTTTTTCCTGGACATATCTCCTCAGGCAAGGGAAACAAAAGCAAAAATAAACAAGTAGAACTACACCAAACTAAAAGATTCTGTATAGCAAAGGATATTATCAACAAATCAAGAAGGCAACCTACATTATGGGAGAATATATTCATAAATGATTTAGCTAATAAAGGGTTAACATCCAAAATATATAAAGAACTCACTCACTTGTCTCAACACCAAATATATATATATATATATATCCATATCCCAGTTAAGTGGGCAGAGGACCTAAATAGACATTTTTCAAAGAAGACATACAGATAGCCAAGAGGCACATGAAAAGATACTCCACATCATTAATCATTAGGGAAATGGCAATCAAAACTGCAATGAGATATCACCTTACACCAGTCAGAATGGCCACTATCCAAAAGATAAGAAACAACGAATGCTGGCAAAGATGTGGAAAAAGGGGAATGCATCTACACTCTTGGTGGGAATGTAAATTGGTGCAGTGTGGAAAGCAGTATGGTGGTTCTTCAAAACACTAAAAACAGAAATACCATATGACCTAGTAATTTCACTTCTATGAATTTACCCAAACAAAACAAAATCTCTGATTTGAATAGATATGTGCACCCCTATGTTTATTGTTGCATTATTTACAATAGCCAAGACATGGAAGCACCCTAAGTGTCCATCAATAGACAAATGGATAAATAAGAAGTGGTACACATATACAGTGGAATATTATTCAGCCATTAAAAAGAAAGAAATCTTATTTGTGATGACATGCATGTACTTACAGGATATTATGCTAAATGAAATAAGTCAGGCAGAAGAAGACAAATGACACATGTGGAATCTGAAAGCAAATAAAACACAATGAACAAAATAGCAGTAGTTTCCATAGACACTAAGTGACTGTTAGTTTCCATCTGGGAGGGATTAGGTTGTATGGATGAAATAGGTGAAGAGGATAAAGAGGCATAAAATCTCAATCATAATATAAATTAGTCACAGGGATGAAAGTACAGCATAGAAACACAGTCAGTAGTTCTATAACATCTTATAAGTTCACAGATAGTAACTACCCTAGTTGGGATGAGGATTTAGTAAAATATAA